ACATATGAAGACAGAAATACGTACTTTGAAGATTAGATAAAATCTCTTTTAATATTTATATCCATAATATTAAGCTTTCATTTTCAAGTAGCCTGTCGAGAAAGAACTATGTACTCCGAAGATTAGATAAAGTTGCCACAGTTACGTTCTTCCCTTCCCGGAAGTGTTGCCATAGTGACCTACTAATGACGTCACTGTTCGCCGTCTCCACAGACGCCATGACGGTGCAGGGAGAAAAGATGGCGGCGGCGCTGAGGCTGTGGGACAGTCTGGTGGACACTGCCAGGGAACAACAAGGTCCGTTCTTCTCGTCTGTTCCCACATTTGTCACACTTCTTGACAAAACTAATACAGGACTATTTTTGAAATTCTCAGGTGGGAGGGGGGGGGGTTCTTACCTCTCCTTTCCTTTGACCTTTTTTTTAACAAAAAAATGCGGTGGCCGTTGTTGTTTTCTTTTTTTCTGTCCTTTTAGGTCTGTATGCTTTTTTTCATTTTCCTGTTTGTCATATTATTATGATACCCACCCGAAGTAACAATCAAAAGACCTTAGAAAATTTTCCAAACTACCTCTTTTAGGATTCTAACTCAGGCCTTCAATACAATATTAGATTTTCACGTTTTCTTCTTACGAGATTTGGCTATATCTGTGATGGACTCAAACTGTCACCAGCGACCAGCAGAAGTGCAGGGCGTGTGTCTTGGTCATCATTTTCACCTAACAGAAGTAGGTCAGCTCAGTGCCGGAGGATTAGCCACTCACTTCGCCAACATCTGATAGGATGATCTCGAGAGTTTTACGTCCTTCTCAACACTTCTTTTACGTCAGCTAAGTCGTCATACAATAGGACTTTATTACGCAAGTAATGACTTTTGATAAATAGTAAATCTCGCCGAAACCAATGAAAAGATCATGTTTAAAGTCTTGTGTCAAACTGTGCCCTCAAACTAAACCGCCTCTCGTTACGTCATCTCCACGTACCCAGCGGCCGGACAATCCACCCGAGTGACATTGACGGCCATCAAGGACACAGCCCGGGCCATGCAGGGAATCGTCACTGACACAGGTAGGTAACACGGACGTTCGATAATTTCTCTGAGTCTTTCCCTCCAACACTGCTAACTACAGAAAGAAAATTGAACCAGCAAATACTTCGCTATCATCGTCACTGACACAGGTAGGACACACGGACGTTAGATGATTTCTCTGAGTCTTTTACTCCAACAACGATAACTCTAAAGAGAAAATGAGTAACAGATCCTTCGCTATCATCGTTACTGACACAGGTAGGAAATACGGACGTTAGACGACTAGATATATTCTCTGGATCTTTTACTAAATCATTGCTAACTGTAGAGAGAAAATGAGTGACATCATATCCTTTGCTACCATCGTTACTGACACTGGTAGGAAATAGGGATCATCATCATCGTCATCATCAATGCAAACATGCAAACATTTTTTTACAAAAGGTGGGGGGGGGTGCATGATTAAATGATATTGATCATTCGACATCTGACGCTGAGAACTGTATTTCCTCTTGCTATTATCAATTGATTTTTTCTCTTCCTCCCATGCAGTGTCCTATGTGACCGACATCCTGAGACTGGCGGGGACAAACCAAGGTACGCGCGGGGCTGTAGGCTTGAGTTGTGTCTTTCCACACTTGACATGTGCCTTTATACACCTGACATGTGTTCTTCTAGGCTTGACTTGTGTCTGTCTACACTTGACTTGTGTCTTTATACACCTGACATGTGTTCTTCTAGGCTTGACTTGTGTCTTTCTACACTTGACTTGTGTCTTTATACACCTGACATGTGTTCTTCTAGGCTTGACTTGTGTCTTTCTACACCTGACATGTGTTCTTCTAGGCTTGACTTGTGTCTTTCTACACTTGACTTGTGTCTTTATACACCTGACATGTGTTCTTCTAGGCTTGACTTGTGTCTTTCTAAAGTGGTTCAGTTTCCTGTACCTTTCTCCTTGTCACTCTCTGCAGTCTTTTTGCTTGTCTTTACGTCCTAACCTAAGGGCGTGTGTTTGACCCAAGGGAAGCACATCGACACAATCACAACAATGTAGTGCTTGGAAAAAAGTCTGACAGATAGACAGAAACAACAGGGGGAAGACCTGCCACTGGCACCCTCCAACAACCCATACATTAAAGTGCAGAAAATGACACAATTAGACCCATACTAACAGTTCACATAAGGTATAATATGTTCCATTTACTGATCAAAATTTGTAAGAAAGTATTTATTATGGACAAACCTTTGTTATGGACAGCCCCACAGCACCGTTTTGAAGACATAAAAAAGAGCGCATTAACAGTGTCGTTTTGTCTTACAGTAGAAGATCGTCAAAACTTTTCTTTATCTCATCACTTACCATGATACTGTTTCTAGGTCTCACCACTTACCATGATACCTTTTCTCTGTCTCACTACTTACCATGATACCTTTTCTCTGTCTCACCACTTACCATGATACCTTTTCTCTGTCTCACCACTTACCATGATACCTTTTCTTTGTCTCACCACTTACCATGATACCTTTTCTTTGTCTCACCACTTACCATGATACCTTTTCTTCGTCTCACCACTTACCATGATACTTTTTCTTTGTTTCACCACTTACCATGATACCTTTTCTTTGTCTCACCACTTACCGTGATACCTTTCCTTCGTATCTCTCCAGGAACCAGCAACAACAAGCGGGTAAGTGTTTTAGCAGACTCACAAACCTTTAGAACCACACTCCTGTAGTTTTCTATGAGAAATTATTTTAACAAGGAAACTTAGATTATGTAGATCACTCTTTTCAACTTTTAATTGTTTTAAAATCTACAAGATTTAGTAGAAAATGGATTGCCCGACACCCCCAGCGTAATTCAACCTGCGAGCTAACGATGTAAACCTCTAGATCCTCATGCAGTATTCATATTGATGGCAATAATCACCCGGTTAATTATTATCTCTCCCTCACTGTGCTTTTTTGTTTTTGTTTATCTATTTTGTTTTGTTTTTGTCATCAAATTAGTTCATGCTCAGGTGAGATTGGTGGTGTTGTGAAAGAACTAAAGTGACATTTTATTTTTATTTTATTTTTTTCAGGCACTCTCCAAAAGAGGTAAGTACAATTAATGAACAAAGCTTAGTTCGGAACCTTGGGTTCACTTTCAGGGTTGGAGGTGGAGCAGCAGAATATGTGGAGTAAAATTTCCTTTAGACAATACCACAGTTGTGAATGAACATTTCACTCAGAGACCAATTGATTTCACAAACCTCAGCCTAGATGACACAATCGCTGTCTTCACCAGCACTAGCCTCAAACACAAACACTTTCTCTGTCGTCCCCGCCACTATCGTTGTCACCATTCTCTTCTCTCGCTACCATCAACTCTGCCCCACCTCATCATCATCCTCACCATCACCATCACCATCACCATCATCATCATCATCATCATCATCATCATCATCATCATCATCATCATCATCATCTAGCAAGACTGCAGTCGGACCATCATTGGAGCTTGAGATGGTATCAGAACTTTGTGAATGAACAGCTCAGCCCACGTTGCCGAAGATGTAACCATGAAAAGGAGGAAGTCAAACATATGTTTGAATGTCCAAGAACAATGGCAACTCGAATGGAGTTATTGAGACGAGTGGAGTATAATGATATTGGAGTCGAAAAAGAGCCTCGTTCTCGCTCCAACATTTTTTTCGTGGAGTCCACCAGGCCCATTAAAATTTAGGAAACAAAAACAAATCATCATCTCTAGCCGCCCGTCAATCACACATACTCCCCCCTCCCCCCCCACCCCCCTTCCCCCCCCCCCCCTCAGGGCAGTGTCAGTAATTGAAGTGTCTTTAGGCCATTCCAAAGGGGGGATATAAACATGTTTTTATGCACAATAGAATTGTAAATGGGCTGATTTTTCAATGTCATGCTAATATTGTGCAGGAATAACATAGGGGGAACTCCTGCTTTGTCTTTCCTCATCCTTACTATCGTCATTGTTTCTCTACTTCTTTTGTATGTTTGTCACTCTCATGTGACCTGTTATTTCCGGGGGGCCTTGATAATCGAAGCAGACTTTGTGCTGTTGAAGCTAGAGAGGTGAGCAGAGTAAGTCTGATTTCCTGTTTGCACTTCTCTGTTGACATCCACCCCTTGGCGCTCATATGACCTTATGCAGTTGCGAGCGCCGTAAAACCTTACTAAAAAAACATATCACAGATACTTGCGTGTTTTGTGTCCCCAGGCTGGAGTGTGGGAGTGGACGTAGGCTACGGGTCTCACTCCGGGGGTCGTGTTGGGGTCAGTGTCGGCTTCTCCTTCTGATCTACTCAACAACACACCCACAGCTCATCCGCTCAACACACTGACAACACACTGACAGCTCATCTGCTCTACACACTGATCCACCCAACACACTCACAGCTCAACAAACAGCACCATTCAAGTCCGTGTCTCGGCATATATCATCATGTTCATCCATGAGTGAAATTATCAGCGAGAATAAAGTTCATCTTTTGATAAAACCACTTACCAAATTGCTTCTTCAACTTTTTTTATTTAAGAGTCTTCTGTGTTTTTAACATTGTCGCGCACTTTAAAAAAAATATTTTTTACTGAACTTTGTTGTAAAAGTTTGAAAGAAGACATGAAAACGACTACGTAAGTAGGTTAAAGGACAGTTTGTAACAAAGACATGCAACACTGTTGCATTCTGGAACATCATGGGAAGACAGCAGCGTAACATACACAGCCCGCAAATTTAAGATCAAGATAAAGATAATACTTCATTGTCAAAGAGGGAAAACTTTCTTGGCTTTACAAGATCTTAAAAATACATGCAGGTATACAGAAGTGACAACTCTTATTTGATCTGCCAATACTTTTCTTGTCTCAAATTATCAACAATTCCGTAACATTATTCCAGAATAGTCCGCCTACACCCCCATCCCCCTTCCCCCCTAAAAGAAAAAACAACTAAATAA